AGTATCGCGTGGAACACTGTCATTGTCCTTGCTTCAGTCTCGCGTGGAACACTGTCAATGTCCTTGCTTCAGTCTCACGCGGAACACTGTCATTGTCCTTGCTTCAGTATCGCGTGGAACACTGTTGTCCTTGCTTCCGTATCGCGTGGAACACTGTCATTGTCCTTGCTTCAGTATCGCGTGGAACACTGTCATTGTCCTTGCTTCAGTCTCACGCGGAACACTGTCATTGTCCTTGCTTCCGTATCGCGTGGAACACTGTCATTGTCCTTGCTTCAGTCTCACGCGGAACACTGTCATTGTCCTTGCTTCAGTATCGCGTGGAACACTGTCGTCCTTGCTTTAGTATCGCGTGGAACAGTGTCATTGTCCTTGCTTTAGTCTCACGCGGAACACTGTCATTGTCCTTGCTTCAGTCTCACGCGGAACACTCTCATTGTCCTTGCTTCAGTCTCACGCGGAACACTGTCATTGTCCTTGCTTCAGTATCGCGTGGAACACTGTCGTCCTTGCTTTAGTATCGCGTGGAACAGTGTCATTGTCCTTGCTTAGTCTCACGCGAACACTGTCATTGTCCTTGCTTCAGTATCGCGTGAAACACTGTCGTCCTTGCTTTAGTATCGCGTGGAACAGTGTCATTGTCCTTGCTTTAGTCTCACGCGGAACACTGTCATTGTCCTTGCTTCAGTATCACGCGGAACACTGTCATTGTCCTTGCTTCAGTATCGGGGGGGGGAAACTGTCATTGTCATTGCTTCAGTCTCGCGTGGAACACTGTCATTGTCCTTGCTTCAGTCTCACGCGGAACACTGTCATTGTCCTTGCTTCAGTATCGCGTGGAACACTGTCATTGTCCTTGCTTCAGTCTCGCGTGGAACACTGTCAATGTCCTTGCTTCAGTCTCACGCGGAACACTGTCATTGTCCTTGCTTCAGTATCGCGTGGAACACTGTCGTCCTTGCTTTAGTATCGCGTGGAACAGTGTCATTGTCCTTGCTTTAGTCTCACGCGGAACACTGTCATTGTCCTTGCTTCAGTCTCACGCGGAACACTCTCATTGTCCTTGCTTCAGTCTCACGCGGAACACTGTCATTGTCCTTGCTTCAGTATCGCGTGGAACACTGTCGTCCTTGCTTTAGTATCGCGTGGAACAGTGTCATTGTCCTTGCTTTAGTCTCACGCGGAACACTGTCATTGTCCTTGCTTCAGTATCGCGTGAAACACTGTCGTCCTTGCTTTAGTATCGCGTGGAACAGTGTCATTGTCCTTGCTTTAGTCTCACGCGGAACACTGTCATTGTCCTTGCTTCAGTCTCGCGTGGAACACTGTCAATGTCCTTGCTTCAGTCTCACGCGGAACACTGTCATTGTCCTTGCTTCAGTATCGCGTGGAACACTGTTGTCCTTGCTTCCGTATCGCGTGGAACACTGCCTTTGTCCTTGCTTCAGTCTCACGCGCAACACTGTCATTGTCCTTGCTTCAGTATCGCGGGGATCACTGCCATTGTCCTTGCTTCAGTCTCACGCGGAACATTGTCATTGTCCTTGCTTCAGTCTCACGCGGAACATTGTCATTGTCCTTGCTTCAGTCTCACGCGGAACACTGTCATTGTCCTTGCTTCAGTCTCACGCGGAACACTGTCATTGTCCTTGCTTCAGTATCGCGTGGAACACTGTCATTGTCCTTGCTTCAGTATCGCGGGGATCACTGCCATTGTCCTTGCTTCAGTCTCGCGCGGAACACTGTCATTGTCCTTGCTTCAGTCTCACGCGGAACACTGTTATTGTCCTTTCTTCAGTCTCGCGTGGAACACTGTCATTGTCCTTGCTTCAGTATCGCGTGGAACACTGTCATTGTCCTTGCTTCAGTCTCACGCGGAACACTGTCATTGTCCTTGCTTCAGTATCGCGGGGGGAAACTGTCATTGTCATTGCTTCAGTCTCGCGTGGAACACTGTCATTGTCCTTGCTTCAGTCTCACGCGGAACACTGTCATTGTCCTTGCTTCAGTATCGCGTGGAACACTGTCATTGTCCTTGCTTCAGTCTCGCGTGGAACACTGTCAATGTCCTTGCTTCAGTCTCACGCGGAACACTGTCATTGTCCTTGCTTCAGTATCGCGTGGAACACTGTTGTCCTTGCTTCCGTATCGCGTGGAACACTGCCTTTGTCCTTGCTTCAGTCTCACGCGGAACACTGTCATTGTCCTTGCTTCAGTCTCACGCGGAACACTGTCATTGTCCTTGCTTCAGTATCGCGTGGAACACTGTCATTGTCCTTGCTTCCGTATCACGTGGAACACTGCCATTGTCCTTGCTTCAGTCTCACGCGGAACATTGTCATTGTCCTTGCTTCAGTATCGCGTGGAACACTCTCATTGTCCTTGCTTCAGTATCGCGTGGAACACTGTCATTGTCCTTGCTTCAGTATCGCGGGGATCACTGCCATTGTCCTTGCTTCAGTCTCGCGCGGAACACTGTCATTGTCCTTGCTTCAGTATCGCGTGGAACACTGTCATTGTCCTTGCTTCAGTCTCACGCGGAACACTGTTATTGTCCTTTCTTCAGTCTCGCGTGGAACACTGTCATTGTCCTTGCTTCAGTCTCGCTTGGAGCACTGTCATTATCCTTGCTTCAGTCTCGCGTCTAATACTGTCATTGTCCTTGCTTTAGTCTCGAGTGGAACACTGCCATTGTCTTTGCTTCAGTCTCGCGTCTTACACTGTCATTGTCCTTGCTTCAGTCGTAGAATTTAACAATTTAAAATTTATGAGGATTGAGACATTTGTGAAACAAGAAGCCTGTGACTTCATCAGTCCACTTTTCTCAAGATTGATTAACATGTTGACTCCCGGCTGAGCGACTGATAATCTGAAGCTTCACCTCGTCTTCCACCTTTCTTCTCAGCAAAGGGTTGTTAAGGTCGCTGTCGAGTTCGTAACCATTTGCATCATAATTTGTGCCATTTTCTTCTGCTTTTCTTAGGTTTATTGTCATCTATAGATTACCCACTAATCCGGAAATTGGAGATGAAATTTTACGACGTTTCGGTTCTTTGTGGACCATTATCATGTTTGGTTGTATAGCCATAATCTGCTAGCTGATACTTTATTACAGAGTGTACTAATGAAGCCCTGGATAATATCACACCCTAAATATTCCATCTGATTATGAAAAATGAGAGATACAGACACATTTCCTTTTTCAACGTATACAATAGTCTCCCCGTGAATATTGATGTCTGATTATGGAGTAAATTATAATGTCATTCAGCTTGCTGAAGAATCTTTTATTCGCGAGAACTGTGTCTTTGTGAATTCTATCATGTTACCATTTACTTCAGTTCTCCGCATTTGTTTACATGACCATCTGCTCTAGGATACTGCTTCAGTTATTACATAATGTTTACAGTTCTAGTTCTGGATTTCCATGTTTCGTGAGGAAGGCTGTGGGGAGTATGTGGAAGCTGAGAACGGAGATGCTTATGGGTACAGAAATGAGTAGGCCAGGAGGTTAACAGTAAGGACATTTAGAGGTAGGAATATACGATGTGAGAGGGAGGAGATGTACTGGTAGAGTGGTTTATTGAAGAGTAGTGAGAAACAGACGCAAATATCTCGGTCTGGGGTGAGCAAGGTGTGAGAATAACAAAAAAGGCACAATACCGTGACTGAAAATGTATGGGAAAGTAGTGGGTAACAGATCAGTAGGAGTATCTGGGTGGGATGCTGGGAGACATCAGTTAAAGATGCTACGGAGTGGTGTTTGGTGAGTAGAGAAGTTGAAGATGGATATGTGGGAGGTGAGCATGGTTATGGTGTTAATGGTGAGTGGAGGACTTATAAGAAAAGATATGGCAGTAAGTAGAGGTGTAAAGAGGGAAAGAAATCGTTAAGGAAGGAAAGGGAAAGGAAGGGTTCACTTGTTGCTGAAGAGTAAGAGGGGAGAGAGAGGCACAATTATTGGATAAACAGTTGTGGTGAGTAGTGTGAGAACGGGTTAGCATTTTTAAGATACAGTGTCTTCTCTGGGGAGGAGGAGGATGATTGCCTCATTTACATTTCTCATTGTTCCAACTGTGGTCTTTACATTAGTTCCACACTTGATACAACTTATTTTCGTGTTGTTTTCTTGTCTCTTATTCAGTAAATGTCTTTGTAAGACTTAACTCTTCCCATATAGTATGCAGTCAAGGAAAATTTACTA